AGTGAAACTCTCTCCTTGCCTTTACCAGAATGCACACAGTCATGAGTCCATACATTTGTAAGCAGGATCTCTTCCAAACTGTAGGAGTTTGTGTCAGCTTTCTGAAATAGAAAATTATTTTATGTAGTTGTGACAAGACTTTTGGACAACCCTGTACATTTTTACTGAAACTGTCTTTTTCAGAGATGAACAAATAAACATAAAAACATAATGATCAAAAACCAGCTACAGACATGTTTATATGTCGATCTTGATTCTTTTTTGCCCTTCTGAGCTTTAAATGAGTTTAATTGTCAACTCATAAATTCTGGTAAAGGTGTTAGTCACTGCTCAGGTACTTCAAGGTACTTTCTTAGTTACTATGCTAAAAACAAAATAAAAATATTAATCTGAAAATGAGATGTTTTCCGAAAATAATTGATGTGGAAGGGGTTAAATGACCCATGAACTGTTTCTTGAGTTAAAGAAAACACTGAAGAATTTTTATACATGAATAATTTTTGATCAGTTTGTTTAAATACCACAACGTTTAAAATGAGTGAGTGAAGCATTGTGTGTGTGCATATATATGTATATATGCAGGTGTGTTTGGCAAATTATGCCTTTACATGATTTGGACAATTTTGCTGCTACAGCCAGTGTATATATATATATATATATATATATATATATATATATATATATATATATATTACCCTGAAGATCTGTTTATGTGAAACCTAGGTAGGTTGTTCCTGGCTCTTTAGGATTTATTTTATTTATCCCAGCTCTACTTAGCGTATTGAGCACTCTACGTTTTAGCTTTATTACTTGCTTGTTTTTTTTTCTTTTTTGCTAAAACTTAAGGCACTGGATGATTTGTTTTTCCTGTTAAGCTACTTAGGGTTGTTCTCATTGTTCACTTCTCTCTCTCTCTCTCTCTCTCTCTCTCTATATATATATATATATATATATATATATATATATATATATATATATATATAGGAATAATGTGATTAAAAGTGTGTCACTTAGCTGATTGATGTTACCTTCAGCATCCCGACTCCAGAGTTTCGTAGATGAACCTGTCCATCCACTCTTCAGGGGATATCAACAATTTACTAACATTTTTTTTTTCGATGTTTTTACTTTATATATACATTTGACATTGGTGTCACTTTTTTTTGTATTTTTTGTGTTGATGTGTGCATTTGTATGTGTGTAGCCATGTGCCCATCTCTGCAGATATGTTTTTGTGCACGTGTGGTTATCTGCACAGATGTGCATACGCGTAGGGTGTCGTCATCATTTATCCTTTTCATTTTATTTTTCATTTCACTTTACACTCTTTAGCTTTTTCTCTTTTTTCTTTTTCCTTTTTATATATGAAGTGCATTGTATTCCATTCTTGTATTATTGTGGAACTTTTACAGGTCTTGATAGTGCATATAGTTTACTCGGGAGAATGTTTAAAAATCTTCTCTGAAAAGATAATTTATATATAAGAAAAAATACAAAACACAAATTACTTTGCTCTTTGCCCCTGGGCCAAATTTTGGGCAAAATGTTACAAAACTCTATTGATGATATTTTTCTGATATTTCAAAGAAGATATGAAGACGTATGGACAAGCAATAAAAAAAAAAAAAAAAGTTCGTTTTTACACTTTGCAGTTATAAGAAGAATTGATTCATTGTTTTTTTGTTTTTTATTGCTTGTGTCTCAATAATGTCAGGATTTTTTAAAAATTTTATACTTTTTTTGTTCATTAAAATTTATTCTCTTTTTTGTGTTCCCAACAGAATGGTATAATTTTATTTTGCTTCTGTTACTAAACATAAGCCTGTCCATTATCTGCTCGAAGGCATTGTGTTCACCCAACCAAAACCTCTGTGCCAAGTTCATTGCACTCTCTGACTCCTCTTTGCTTAACTTTCTTGGCTGACATTAGTATTTTACAAAAGAATGCAGGATAGTTATAATTAAAGCAAGTAACACCTCCCTCATTGCACAAGTCCTTTGCAGACAAAAAAGATCATTAAAGCTTTATATTTTAATCATCATGTCTTGTTTATTTTGCAGTTAGAGTATTGAACTGGTAACAAAGATTTGAAGTGCCTGATGCTTTTCTTATATGACAAAGCAGTGATTAAAAAGATTTCTGCCAAATAAAGATGAGATTCACTATCTTTTGTTTCGTTTATGTTATATTCCGTGCTAATAGGTATATATACTTGAAAAACACGGTGGATAAAATAAGTAAAGGTTTATTGTAAAAAAACCAGTACAATAAGAATAAAGGTAACAGTTATGCACAAGGTTGTTGCAAGTCAATCCAGTAGTGAGTGCTACTATTGGAAGGTCGATAGTTCTCACGTAAGTCTGAGTTGTACTCAACAGATCTCAGTTAGAAATATTTACCAGACCCCCCCCACACACACACACACCTTGAAGTAGGATGTGGCACAATGCTGAATTTAATTTTGGGTAATCTGAGCACATAGGCTCGGCCAAAAATTCCCCATAACTCTGCATAAATGGGTTTGGGTCTGTCTACTTCCTCAGACACGGCTATGTCGAAGGGCAGAGTCTCATCTGGGTTCCTCTCTGCACGAAGGCAGAGAGTTTGACTGTTTAACTGGAACAGATCCCAGCTAGTATATTTAGCTACCCCCCCCCCCACCATGAGGGTTGCATGTGGCACAAGGCCGGTTTAACGTGGGTTCTCCGAGCCCGTAGGCTCAGCCAAAAATATTCCCTTTCTAACCTGTATAAACGGGTTCAGTGGCAGTCTACCTCCCCGAACAAGACTCTGCCCTTCGGCGGAGCCTCGTCCGAGTTCCTCTCTGATCAGAGGCAGAGAGTTCAACTGTTTAGCTGGAACAGGTCGCAGCTAGACCCTCTAGTCCATTGACTTACAGCTACTTATAGGTGGTTACTACCTATAGTGTAGTTACTCATGGGGGTGACAGGTTATTCCATTACATCAAATTACAATTTTTCTTGCCATGTTGATATCCATGAAATATTATGGAATATTTCCTTCACCTAGGTGGATGTGTGGGTGTTGTAATGGGTCGCAATTCAGAAAGAGAAATCAGAGATTCAGGTTCAAATTCTAGCCAGGTTCATTACATTCACTTATGTGCAAATACCCTTGGGAAAGGTATGAATCCATCTCCCACCCTCAAATGACTTATATCTGGAAAATTCATTATTCTAAAAAAATGCAACTTGTGTAAAAAAAAAAAAAAAAAAAATTATTCTTAAAATCCAAAATAATTTTTGGCTTTAAATAATCCACAAAGGATTAAGTCAAAAACTAAATCAATCAATTCCTCACCTAGGCATTCCAGATTAGAATCAAGAATGGTTAAATTAAGATTTAGATGACTAACCAGTTAGGCTGTTCTGCTTGCAGACAAGCATACATTGTTCTCCATCAGCACATTGTTCTCCATCTTTATATTGTTAAGATTGTGGCCACCAATAATAAATCCTGGCAAGACTTCTAGTTTTCTTAGGATTGACTCATGTATAGGTTGAATAAATCTGGTGAAAAGATGCATTCTAGTCTAATGCCTCTTTTTTGCGTACTTGATTCATTTTTCTATCCATATGCAGATAGTTTTCTCCTGGTATATATTCTGGATTATTCTAATGTATTTTCCAAAGAAATAAAGTTTTCCTCGCAATCATAGTAAACACATCAACTTTATTGATGCTGAATGTTTTCAAGTCACACAGTTCATGACTTAGACTTTAAATAATATTTCCAATCGCTGTAAATTTTAATTAGTACAAAATTATAGATTTTGTATCTTAGAGCAAGATTTGTATTGATTTTTCAAAATAGTGAATTATTATTATTATTTTTTTTTTTTTTTTGAATGATTTATTTTAAATAAAACAAAACACATTCTCATTGCTAATTCCAAATGGTTCCATTCACGGCGCTTAATCAATGCCATTCATTCTTGCTATTGTTTGGATTTTATATCTTTGTTGGAGACTCTTCATGAATACTGAAAGTAAACACAGCCAATAATTGAACTGTACAAAACACTTGGGGAATAATTTTATGTACGTGTTCATTTACTGAAAGAAATGAGAGAAAAAACACGTTTCTAATCTAATGGCAACATTTCTTACTCTCCTTTTCCTTCTTTGCTAATCTATATTCATGTCCATTGTCATCAACCTTTGAGTGAAAATCTTTGAGCTCTTGAGAAGATATACTTTGGCTATTCAAAAAGCAGGAATGGTGGAGTAATGAATAGCACCTTGAATTGAGGAACCAGAGAGCGGTGTTCGAATTCCAGTTGAGTTTGTTAAATTCATTTAAGTGCAAATACACTTGGGAAAGGTATGAATCCATCTTTTCACTTCCTAGCTAAATAACAGGACAAACTTGGGTGGAAATCTGTCTAGGAGAAGGACAACTCTGAGTTCAAAATCAGACTGGTTGAGTGGCGGGTGACTAAGCTGGCTTCCACTATTAGACCCTGGTCTGATGAGGAGGATAAGTGGAACCCCAGCAGCAATAAAAAACAAGATGAACTCAGTATCAATAGCCATCCACTCCAACTTTGGGTTAAATAGCCTCACCAACCAGCAATTGGTCAAACATGACGAGTATGGTTACATATCTGAAAACAGTTAATCAGCGGGGTGGGGAATTCTTCCAACAGGAGTGGGAAGGCCCTTTATTTAGATTTTGATTTAAAAAAAAAAAAGATTTTAAATCATTGATTGATTCATTTTCTATGGTTTATCAACCCTTTCGAGGTTATTTAAAGCCAGAAAATATTTTTAGATTGTAAGAATATTTTTGGAATAATAATGATTTACTGATGCAAGTCCTACTAATTAACCCATAGTTGGGGGAGAAGAGGCGGCTCTATACCTTTCCCAAGTGTATTTGTGCATAAGTAAATATAACAACCCCAACAGGAATTGGAACTTGGCTCTCCAAGTAACAATTTCGAGCCATTATCCTTTACACTACACACACATCCAAGCTTACAGCACCTAGTATTCCCAAATGGTCACCCATCTAGATACTGACCAGGCTCGATGTTGCTTAACTTTGGTGATCATACCAGAACCAATGTTTCAACGTGATATGGCCGTAAATCAACAAACTTGGAAAATGTCTAAAGAGACATTATATAGATTTTTATTTAAACTGATATTTTTGAATATTTAAGGAATGTGTTTCTTTTAAGCATCTTTTATAAAGTGTTACAAACCAATCCTTATTTACATTCTAACTAATGTCCTCGTCTTTGTTACTATTACCATAACATTTCGATTTCTTCTTCAGGTATTTGTCAGTCCAGTTAATCTCCAAGGTATTTTAAAATTAACCCTTTATTTAATCTACATAGGTGGATTCTTCTAATTCCACTGTCCATATCTAGGGATATTTTGTCTTTTTTTTTTTTTTTTTAGTACTGCTCAGTTTATTGCTTGTCCCTCTTTCCATTGAGTCTGTACTACCCAGGTCATGGATTGAACTCACAATTATTAATGCTACCAAATTCATAACAAAGGGACAATAGCCTTAATGGATTTAAAAATTGGTTGTTGAATCAGGCAACTCTAGAAAACTTATATTTAAGCAATATTTAATTAAAAAATCTGTCTAAAATATGAAGAGAATAAAATATATTTACTTGTCAATCAAACATTGCTTACAGATTTCTTTAAAAAAAAATGCTACTTTAATTTGAAATGTTTTTTTTTACAGTTGTTTCATAAATATAATTTTTTTTTAATCAATTCACCCCAAGTAAGGCAATAATGCCACTAAGACGCAAGGAGGCTACTGGGAATGAAGATGAATAAAAAAGACTTGAGAAAGAACTGGAAACCCTATCCTAAACAGGAAACAAAAGATAAACCTCTACTCCTGTTTATACTGGGGAGGTGTGTGAACCAGATGATAGGCAAACATATCTAGTCCTGTTGATTTTTTTTTTTTTGCCATTTATAGATATTTTAAAGACATTTAAATGATGAGAAAGAATCTGGCTGCTGTGAAAAGATGGGTTTTGGAAGGACAAACAGATTGCACCCATTGAAAAGATGTGAAAAGATAAGTGCATCCATCTGGATTAAATTGAAAGAGTTTGTGTCTTGTAAAATACTCATAAAAATGAGAAACAGCAAATCATGGAAACAACAAAATGAGTGTTATTTATTATCTGGTTGTTATGTGGTATTAATGACATTAGAGATTTTAGAAGGAACTGGAAACTCCAATCCTAAACAAGGAACAAGTGATTAACTTCTACTCCAGTTCAAAAGATTGGGAAGGAGTGTGATCTGGATGATAGACGAATATATCTACTACTATTTAGAAAAAAAGAAATTAGTAATGTTTTAGTGTTCAAGAAGAGATGTTAAAAATATAGATTTGAAGTAGACTTTAGAAGGAACTAGAAATCCTAAGCACTAGACAATGGACAATTCTTACGATTATATCATACTGAAAGTCTGGTTCAGTCTTAAGATGTGAGACCACTTGGGAATATTTGGAACTGTTAGTAAAAATCCCATACAAAAATGGTTGTGTGTGGGGCTAGCAACTTCAGCTCATAAAAACTTAATTGCTATGGAAGCAACAGCAGCAACACTGTGGCTCTGTACTCCTCAATTTGTTTGTTTGTTTAGTGACATATCAACTCCTTATGGATCATTGAATGCTGAAATATAATTTCCTTTGGAGCATTAGTACTTTCTCTTGCAAAAATGTATTGCTGGTATTTTTATGATAAAAATGTATTTTTATACTTTCATAGTTTTTTGACCCCAATTTGGGGTTTAACTATTTACCCATAGCTGTGACCCTAACAAGTACTACCACCTCGGGTCAAGGTGGGACTGGGAATAGCAGCAATTAAGAGGTGGTTCCATGCTCTTCAAAACCTCCTGATCAGAGTCTATCTGCTGGATGTAGTTTAGTGGAGTCTGCTGGACTAAAGGTGGAAGAAGAGGATATATATATATATATATATATATATATATATATATATATATATATATACACACACAGAGGGTGTGATGGGTAAATTGTTGCTATTTTATATTTTTAATTTTATACATGCATGTTGTTTGTTTTATGTTGACTGCACCATATAGTAGGCTCAGTTGGGTACTGAGAAAAAGAGCACCATAATGCAATTAACTTCACCAGAAATTCGGAAATAGTATGCTGTACTGCTTGGCATTCGTGCCAGAAACTCCAATACAAACATTTCAAATTGTTTGGTTATTAACCTGAGGACAGTGCAGAGGATTTGGAAACAGATGGATGAGACTAATGGTGATTACAAAGGTATGGCAACTTGGAAAACTCACTCTGATAATTCTGATGAGAAAAGAACTCCTGAATTTGTTAAAGAGGGCCTCAGACTCAACATGGAGGCCTACATCAAGTGCCTTGAGGAACTAGTTCTACCCTGAGTCAAGAGGGTGGCTGCTGGAAGACCCAGTGTCTGGGAACAAGACTCAGTAGCATGCTACACAGAAGGAGAACACTGTCATGGCTGTCAGACAATTTCTGTGACCAAATCACCCCTTACATATGGCCACCTAACTCCCCAGACTGCAAGCTCCTTGATTATTATGTGCGGAGTGCAGTTGAGCAAGATACCAACAAAATTCCTTGTAATACCAAAGATGAACTGAAGGCAAGGATTATGGCAGCATTCACCAATTTGAAAAAGGAGACCATCCAGAAGAGTTGCTGGAGATTCTGAAGTTGTCTGGAGGTCTTGGTTGAAGCTAATGGCGATTTTATTGAATACATTTACTCTTTGGTATTTCACGATATGTTTGTGTAATTTTGGTAAATATATCTGTTAAAATGAGACGCCAGTGTTATTTTCATTTTTTGCATCATTTAGACGACAATTTATCCATCGCACCCTGTTTACATATAGTTTTAATGTATTCTTTATATATGGCTAAAAGTGCTCAATATCAGAGCTAGAGTGTATGCAGATATAAATATAAAAGGGAACACTGAGGTCAACGCCAAGCAGCAACAACCTGTTTCATGCTTGAATGCAATTTTTAGCTTTTAATGTTGTTTGGTGGCTCAACTATTTATATATGCTGGTCAATGGGAATTATGTTTAGCAAGGTTAGGTATTTTCAGTTTCTCATATTATCCTAACAGTTAATCGGTAGCAATGGTTATATTTCAAATTTACTCTAAAGTAGAGTAATTGACTAGAAAAAAAATTGTGGCTCAGAATGTGGTGATTTGTAGCTGTTCTATAGTGTTTGTTAAATTTTAGCTCATTATTTTTATTGATTGCTTAGGGTATTTCCTATTTATTCCTTAACTATTTGTTGACTGTTATTATTAAATGTACTTAGTTGGGGTTATTTTGTTTTATTTATTTTATTTTTTAACTCATTTCACCCCATACAAGGCAATAAAGCCACTAAGATGCAAAGGATTACTGAGTGTTAGCAAATATGACAAAAAAAACTACTATTAAGGAGAGAGGACAATAAAAGAACAAGAATTAAGAAGACAGAAGATAACGATTGACGTTGCATTTAAGGTTTTGAAGATCAAAGGCATTAAAGCCACTAGGATGAAAGAGGTTACTGAGTGTTAGAGAATATGAGAAAAAGTACTATTAAAGAGAGAGGACAATAAATGAATACGAATTAAGAGGACAGAAGATAACAATTGACATTGCATTTAAGGTTTTGAAGATCAAAGTTGACTGGGAAGCAAGAAGCCACAAGCGAGAAGTGCAACTGAAGAAACTATTAGCATAGGACTTAGTTACATCTAACCATTTCAACTGTAAAATGATGCAACCTTGTAGTAATGTGTGCATTTTTAGTTTGTCTTATTTATTTGTTAATTTATATATATTTGTGTGTATCTCTTTTCATCATGCATACACTTCTGATCTGAGAGCTGGTATTTTAATACTAGGCAGAACACAGATAGTACACTAATCATTGGTTGAGGACTGAGGAGCAGCACTTCTCTCTTTGACTAAAAGCAGTTGTTTTGATCCTAGGCACAAAAGGCTGATCCAAAGAGAAATAATATTGCTACTTCTGATAGATACGAGGCTTGTATCACCATTCAGCAACATATAGTAGCTATGATATCATGGATAACTTTTATTAAACAAATACATGAAGACTTTCTTTCACTCTAATTATCACATATAGTGTGACATAGCAAATGCAGCACTCATTTACTATAGAAATGCATTAAAAATGATTTTACTATAGAGGAATACATTGTAAATGTTTTATGACAGAGGAATTCATTTCAAATGATTTATTATAGAAATGCATTGCAAATGATTCTACTATAGAAATGCATTGCAAATGATTCTACTATAGAAATGCATTGCAAATGTTTCTATTATAGGAATGCATTGCAAATGTTTCTATTATAGGAATGCATTGCAAATGTTTCTATTATAGGAATGCATTGCAAATGTTTCTACTATAGGAATGCATTGTAAATGATTTTACTATAGGAATGCATTGTACATGATTTTACTACAGGAATTCACTGTAAATGGTTTTATTATAGGAATGCATTGTAATAGATTTTACTACAGGAATGCCTTGTAAATGATTTTACTGTAGGAATGCATTGTAAATGATTTTACCAAAGAATTGGCATTGTAAAAAAAAAAAGAATTACTATAAGAATGCATTGCTGTTTATTTTAATACTGTTTATGTTACACTTGATATAAAAGTTAGGATTTATTTAAAAGATACATAAAATCTTTTATTCACTTTCACGATGACATCAATAGTAAAATCTGGAAGTGGAAAATGTTGAAATTATCATCACAGGTGTTTTTTATATTGAAAATGTTGCTCGAAACTTTAGAGCCAATGACAGAGACTATGTGGGGAAAATTGAGTTTTATAGCTGAAAACTTGCTGTAACCAATGTTGTTATTGCATTCACCATATTTTCCACGGAGATAAATATGACAGATTAATGTTTTGGAACATCCTTCGTGTTTATATTTATCTTTCAAAAAGAAGTCCAAAATTGCTTTCAAGAAAAATATGCGGCAATTTTATCTTTATTGTATGAAGATTTTCAATTACTTTAATTTGCTTT